CTAAAAAACCATACTTGTCAAATAATTACCAACTCAGGATTAACTGAACAAATAACTATTCCTGATGAAATCAATCAAGAAGAATCTTTCTCTCTCCTCTAGTGAATTATCTTCTATAATCCTCTTATTACAGCTTTTGTACAACAAAAATCTAATCTTCCAGTTAATCAATTATATACATGGATGATCTTAATCTTTTGGCAATCTCAAAAAAAGAAATTCAACAAAACCTAAACCTGGCCTTCAAATTTTTCTCACTCAATGATATCAAAGCAAACCCCATAAAAACAAAACTTATTGTATTAAACAATTTATCCTTAAACAAAACTCTTACACAAAACAACACAATTATCACTTCAATTCCAAAAAAGGAACCAGTCAGAATTCTTGGAATCTGGCTCTCTGAACATAGCATTCTTACTTTCAATTAACAAAAAATTTTTGAAGAAACCGAAAATATAGCTCAAGCCTTAAAATCCAAATAAACAACCAACCCTATAACTACTTATATCTATAATAAAGTTTTTTTACTCTGAATTGAATTCAAACTTCAAACAATTTTCCTAACTACCAACATGCTCAAAATCCTCCAAAGAAAATTTGATTCTATAATTAAATACAAATTTAATATTGAATGTACACTTCTACAAAACTGGTTTTACAATCCCAATATATTTAATATCAAATCGATTTCAGATAAACAATCTGAAGTTCTTATCTCCAATCTCTAATACTCTCTTACCAATCCTATAACTCTTCCACTAAAAAAACTTGAAATCTACACTATTCAAAAATTTAATTGTCAACCACTCTATATCTTAAAAAACAACTTTTTATACATATATAACACTACAACATTCTCTACTTTACTAGCAAATCAATATAATCTTTTTTTTTGCTCAATCCCATATTGTTCTTATGAATTCTCTAATGGATCTACTTCCATTATTTCAATTTTGGAAACACAAAAAATGACCAATTTTTGTTAAAAAACTATCCAAAAAAAATATATTTTATATCGAACAAATTCTTAACTATAATAGCAATTAATTAACAAATTGGAATCACATTTCTGCAAGATTCAGCTTCAACATTCAAGGCAAAACCCCGCAATGGTACACAATTCTTACCCAAATTCAATACTCTACTAAAGGATCAACATCAGCTAAATCCAACCAAAAAAAAATAGATAGTATTACTCAAAAACAACAAAATTATCTTTGGCAAAAAATAAAAAATGAACAATAATGATATTTTAACCAACTACTGAATCGCAACTAATAATGATTCCAACAGTTCCATAATTCTCACAAAATATTCTGGCTGCCACTTCAACATCTCAAATAACTCTCATGAATGTCAATTCATATTAAACAACCTATTTAATCTTTTCACAAAACCTTTTATTAACAATATAATCAAAACCAAAAAAATCCAATCAGATCTCCTTAATACACTCACATTCAATTTTCAAAGCAAACCATCAACCCCTTCACTAATTTACATCCTACTTGATATTCAAAAATATCTCATCCAAAAACACTTAATCTCATTATCACAAAAAATCTTAAAACAATTCAATTCTTCTTTGATCTAAATTCTGAAATACTTTTAATATCTAAATACTCTTCCAATTTAACAATAATTACATGGAATTTTCTTCAACACAATAAATCCTTTACAATTAATTTCTCTCTTTCTCATCTTTTATCTTTTTATTTCTCCTTAATACTTATTCTCCTTATCAACAAAACAATGCAAATAACTATCTTCTGTAAATACATAAAAATATCTAACAAACTCTTGCTTTTATTATCTCCCAATTTCTGGAAAAAATGCAAATTATTTTATGTCACTATTATTAGCAATATTCACAATATTATTCAAATATTACAAATATTTTGTTCTTTCTATAAACCTATTTCAACAATGGAAAAACTTCAATCTTATAATACGATTATTCTCCAACTTAACATAACTAACCCATTCCCCCTACCATATATCTTACTAAACATACAAAATAATCCACTTCCCCTAACATGAGACCTTATCAAAAAAAATAATAAAATGATTAGATTAACCAATATAATTTATTTTAAAAGAGCAAAAACTACTTTCAAATCTGACTTCTCTCTTCTACAATATACACTTACCTTTCTTAAAAAAAATTCAATATCAATCACCCAATTCCAATCCAATTTATATAACTTTTACCTCAAAATTCTTTTCAACACATTACCAACTAAATCTCATTTACACTTTACCTTATTTCATATCTATACTAACAATCTTTGTCTCCGATATAACATTGTTTCAAAAACTACACATTATATTTGACTTTGTAAAGAGAGCAATTCGGCCATAACCCAAATAATTAAAAATACCAAAGCACAAGCTATTCTTTCCTTCAAAAACAACAAAAACTTCAATTCAAAAATTTTTCAACAGCTTACCAACTCACTACTCACCTGTATAAACTTAACTTTTGGTCTCACAAATATTAATTTTTTTTTTACAAATCTTAAACCATTTCCAAAAAATCTAAAAATTCTGAACGAACTCCAAAATGATCTTTTCAACTTAATTTACCAGAAAATATGGATTCCCTGAAATAAAAGTATGAATAAAAAAGAAATATATAACATTATTCAAGTAGACAAACACAGAAAAAATAAAAAATCACATACAAAAAATAACAAACAAAAAAAAAACTCTATTGATAAACAAACCCCTTAATCTATAATCAAATAACCATATTAACATTATTAATTAATCTTTTTCTGAAAATTTATCAATGTCTTTTCATGATAGAATAAATTATTAAGGAGGTATTAACTCTTCAAGCATAGATAGTTTCTTTTATTTTCCTTTCTCAAAAAGGTTTTTTTTTAAAATACAGTATATCTATTTGGCAGTAGGCTAACATGTATAGTAATATATTTTACAATCTAAATATTAATTATGTAATATTTTACTCAATTAATAAAGATTATAAGAAATGCTTCACTTAACACTTTAAAAAATATGAATGGAAATTAAATTTTTACTAAAGAAAAAATTTAAGCTTATAAAAAAATTATAAAAAATTTATTATTATATTTAATAAATGTTATTAAAATTGGAGGATTTTTTTATTATATAAAATTATTTTTAAAAAATATCCAAAATCTTTAAAAACTTTATGTTTAATATAAAATTTATGCTTTTAGTAAAATTTGACTAAATTTTAAGTTAAGTTAATTATTGAAAAATTTTTTATACTTAATAAAAAAATAATTATTATTATATTATTTTCATTATGACTTATTTAACAAATATATGCATTAAAATAATTTTAATAATTTTTATTATTATTATTTTATAATATAACTAAAATCAATTATTTTTTTTTTAAAAAAATTTTAAAATTAAATTTTAAGAAAATTTTAATAATATATTTTAAAAATTTTATTAAGTAAACTTGTTTTTTATATTCTTAAATATATTAATATAGATTTTTATTTTATTTTATCAATTAGTTATTAAATATAATAATATATATATATATACATAGTGCAAGTATTTTTGATCACCACTGTATGTGTATTATACATTGTTAATTTGACGCATTTCTTTTTGAACAGCCCATAAGATCTTGTAATGCTGAACAAGTTCTATAATACACATTCCTTCTGAGCGATAAAGCCATTTTTGTTGTATAACTTTTACTGCTCTGATCTTTTTTCCAACTTCTCTAGCACACTTAATCCTATTAATAGCATTGGACATCCAAATTTCATATCGACGAATAGCCTCTTTTTCATAGAAAGCAAGTCCAGATTTATTTTTAAGATCTATATAATCATTAAAGCTAATATCGCAATATTCGTTTCCAGTACAATTTGTACTCCGATGCTCATTCATGAAATGACGAAATCCACACTCATATCTACATCCTATTTTAGAATAAAGATTGCTATACTTATCCCTACAGTATGGCCAAGATCATCTTCATATAAATACGCCATTTTTTTTCGCAATAAGATATCGTTTTTTATCGTCTGTCAAGCGACTACTATTCCTATAGTTCATTAATTGATCCTAGATTTGTATCTTCCAATCAGATGGGGTTTCACCTTTACGAATCACTGGAAAATGACAGTTATCCCTCCATTCAGCATCGCTCAAATTTGGACAATTATCTGTATAGGCCATGTTTAATGATTAAATAAATTATAGCGTTTTTGGATATTATGTGATTATATAAAATTTTAGGGATTTAGACCCATTTGATTTTATCAAGTATATACTATAAAATAATACAATTCATTTTTATATAAATTCGAAGTAGGACTTTTGATCCCAGGTTTGCCGATCACTTTTGCTAAGTAAAAAAGTAAAAAAAGCTATTAACCATCACAAAATAGTAGTGAATAAAAGTCCTAGATACTAACCCTCTAGGGATACCTTAGATGGTTTTATTTTAAGATACTGTATATATATAAATATGTTATACATTAATAAATCAAATAGATTAAATCGATATGTGTATTATACATTGTTAATTTGTCGTTTTTCTGCTCGGATATTTTGTAAACAAGCATAATGTAATGCAAGCTCTTGTGCTGTTAATCCATCCAGGCGATAATACTATTCAATAAATTTCTTTAGTATAATTTTACATGCTCTGATTTTTTTATCAGCTTCTCTAGCACGCTTAATCTTCTTAATAGCATTGGATCAAAAAAGAACTCTGCAAAGAAAATTGGATTGTTCTAAGATATGTTTGGTATTATGAGGATCCATATCTAGTCATTCCAAACCATCTTCGAGAGCTAGGACTCATTGAATAAACTCAAAACTTTAAATACCCCATGATCGTTATTTTTTTTCATTAAAGAATAATTTACAAAATGCCAGAGATACATGTATATGATGACTGTCTAATGTTTTTTCGAACAATCTTTTCCCTATCTTTTTACGCAATACCAAACCTAAAAAAAAGCAGTGTATTATTTCATATGCCAAATCTCAGCGAAAGCTGGCACGATCAGAAATTGGCGAAAAACAATGTCATTTTGATTGTATAATTGACACATCAACTTAGCTTCTTCTCTAATTATATTCAGAAAAAAAACGACTAGTTTATATGAATGATAAATACACAGGTAAAGTTAAACTCACCTTATCATTACATGGAAGACCCCCCTCCTAAAAAATCACCTGATAAATGTCTTTATCCTAACTGTGCTGTATGATTTTCTTAAGCACGTGTTTTATTCTATTGATCGATCGATACATAAATTTTTAGAATCTCAATAAAATTCTTTACTGATGATTCCCTTCAAAATCACTCAGGTCTTTCACTTCATTAACCGTCGAGTACAATGCAAAATATATTTATTTATTTTTATATTTGTATTTTCATTGTGAACCTTCCCCCCACACCTCTTCCGAAAAGTCCTACCTTTCATTACGAGCATTTGTTGAATTTGTACATTACTCGGTTGAATTTCTAATCACATTCTCATTATTTATAGGCTTCCTTTGCGATAACATATTTGGTGTCTGGTCTTGGTATTCTTATATCGATCTTTATACTGGGAGATCTTATATTCGCTTGTCTTAGAAACAAACGCAATAAGCGTCTTCTTAGAGAAACCATGGAAAAAGGCACTCAACCTGATGTGGAAGTTTCAGGGAACGAGCTTGTTCTTCGGCCTGAAACTATAAAACGCCTTAAGAATATTCTTCAACCTTACGAAGGACAACCGTTTTATCATTTGGTTTGTGGTGAACATGGAACCGGGAAAACTACATTGATCAGAATTTCATCGAGAGAAGTTGGACATGGCGTCATATATGTTGATGTTCCTGCAAGTTTAGATCTAACCAAGTTTGGTGACGCATTTGGAAAGTCCCTTAACTTCATATTTGAAGAACATATCTCTTACACAAAACAACTGATTCGGAAAATGTTTGGTAAAACTGAAGGTAAAATTATTATTGATACTTTATTATTAAAAATAGGCCTTTCTTTGATCTCGATTCTCATTCTGTAGGCACATTAAGTAAATGGGAGAGAGCTTTGGATGCTTTTAAGCGTGAAGCTGAATTGTACAAAGCAAAGAATGGAAAGCCGCCAGTTATCGTTTACGATAATGTTGGCCGATTAGTTGCAGACCATCCAAGAATCCTTGATGTTCTTCAGGACGACGCAAAAGATAGTGCCGATAACAGAAAATACTTCGCCGTGTCAACAGTGAAGGAAGTGTCCTGAGAAGAATGGAATGTAAGTATTTGACAAATTTTTTTTGTATTCCCGAAAAATAGCATGACTTATTAATTCAGTTCTTATTTTAGCACGTAGTTCTTGGTCACGTGAATACAAACCAATGATAGAAATTGGCGATCTCAGTGAAGAGGAATCAAAAGATTATCTGATAAATAAGCGCAATATCAAAGAACAAGATGCAAAAAAAATTTATGAATTGATTGGCGGGTGAATTATGGATCTAAAGGTTACAGCAGACAAATTTATGCGTGGAGAATCTCTTAAAGGTAAAACGGTTTCGTTAATTTTTTACCAATCAAATTTACGCAACTCTGCTTAGAATTAGTTACTTGAATTTTTTTCTGTAGACATTAAAAATCCGATTCTAAATGAAGTTGAGAAGAAATTCAAGACTGCACAGCTTCTCCGAAAGCAATTGCATCATGAAATAGGAAAACGCGTCATCCGTGCTTTATTAGAATCTAAAAAAAAAAGAGCTTAAATTTACAACATTTATGGAATATTTCAACAATTATAAAGAAGCAGATGAAGTACTAGAAAACAATGTATTTGCATATCATCCGGAAAATAATGTTGTTACATTTCAGTCCCAATTGGTAGAATCCTACATTCGGGAAAACACTGACATATTCGTTAACCTAATTGATCTCACCCTCCAAGAAAGGACATCCTCCAATCAAACGAACAAGTAATCATAGAATCCACGATAGTAGAAATCGAAAAGGAATTGCTAGGACAAATTTGTTATTCTTTTGATGTAAATAAAGCATTTGGATTTTGATTTTCAATGCACAAATTAGACGAAATAATTGAAATATATGACATGCTTTCAAGGGAGGGAGTACGCGGATCCTGGGCCATTTAATGCGAGTCCATGCCTCATATTATTTCCTAAACTAGCTTCGCTCTTTGCTATATATCATATTTTCAAAGTAAATTAACCATCCACATGTTCCGTTTCCATATCTGCGCTAAAATTTTCACAATTTACAAAAACGGAAACCATTGGGGTCGTCTAACTGTTCCATTTACGTATTTCTATTGTTGTCTAGGTTAAGAATTAACATGTGATGATAATACATAGAATATGCGTGATGATAATAATGATAGATACGATCCGCAATTGCTGGACTATCTTCCGTAAAAGGATTTGAATCTATTGTAAAATTCCGTTAGTAAAAGATACCTACGTATAAACGGATAAAAGAACTACAAAAGAACTTACCATTATATTTCTTAATCACATAACAATAGGCAAACTTTATGAATTTGGCACGTATAGGTCGATCTCCTAGAATTAATTTTGGAGACTTTGTAGCTTTTGCCCAACATGCCAACAATCCCCATACACAAAGGAGCATTTTCGGGAAAAGGAAGAAAAACAATGATGTGGATAGAACCATAAAAGAGGTGTTATCTGAACGTTGATCATAGGCATCTATAATATGATAACCGGAAAAATGTTTCGTTAGCATATACTGTGTGTAACAAAATTTTTTGGAATTTTATTTACTGACATAAATATAAATAACTTTTTCAAAACAAAAGCAATTCACATAAAATTTTAAATATGTAAACATATCTTAACAAATATATATATACCATTAAATTTCTCAACTTGTTTTATTTTTTTTATAAATTTATCCTTACAA